TGCCTAAAATCGCCAGTCGTGTTTCCTGGCTGCTGGTAGTGTACAGTATGTTGTGCGTAATTACACATTTAACTTGAGGCTGTCCCACAAAGTTGAATTTCAAGTTAAAAGGGCAATCCGCCTGGATTGCATGTAGTTCTGGGTTATTTTTTTTCATTGGAATTATTCTGTGTCCTTACATTTCGATTGCTTTTTGTTCGATTGACCGACGAAGTTGCTCGAAAAGAAATCGTCAGTTGCTTTACCTTCCGCTTGGTGAAACCGAATTTCCGTGAGGTGTGACTCATTTCACTCGGTTCATCCACCCTTAGTGTGTGCCAGAGTCAGCTGCCAGATACAGGAGCACCCGTGGTTCGACATAAAACCAGTAAAGTGATGCACATGTATCGAGATCATGTGCGCCAGAAGACGTTGCAGGATTGGAAATTCTGGATATTTTCGCACTTGACGGATCCTCTGGCCGAATCTTTCAACAACTCCGTTTCAACCGCGTCTTTGGATGACTTGTTCCGCACTACGTCTTCATGGGCTGAGCAACATTGCGCCCTTGTTGCCTTGCGTCCCAGTGAGTTTTGAAGTGCTTCCGTTTCAATGGTATTCCGATTTGACATTTTTTATTTTATATTAAACCGCGAAGGTCCGTTTGAAATTAATTTTACCTAACGTACATGCTTTGACTCTTCGCCTCTGGTTGCTAACAATTGTTATGGCCGTACTCCCGGGGCCTGTTAGCTCGTTTTTTGAGACACAAACTGCTATTGATACCACAGTACCTTTTATCTCTCATGTGGTTCAACTCTTCCATCTCGATTTTTGATGGAGGCGTTAATTTTTGCATGTTGGGAGGCACTAGTGAAGCACTGGTTAAAAACTCTGCTCTAGAATATAGATGATGCGTCCTTCTGAAGTACAAGTTTTTTTTTTTTTTTACGTGGAAGCGATATGATTGGCTTTGTTGTATTGGGAACCACACGGAATGAGCAGTAACGACTGAAATGTACTTCTGTATGGCTCAAGCTATTGGCAGGGCTTTATATCTCCCTTCGTTGATACGTGGTTATTCAGTCAAATTGTATTTGTATCGTGCATAATGATTAAAGCCATCCTATTTTTGACAATTCTTGTCGATTTACCGAAAAAGTCCATCTTGAAAATGAATGATCTTTGTCCTTGTCAGTTGAGCAGTCAGAGCAGTCATTTGAGGATTTGAGGTCGATCCCGATTTGAAATTCAAGCACTGAAGTTTCGATGATTTGAAACCTCATTGTATGAGTGACGCAACTGTTTTTTGCCGATTTCGTTAAAATCATGGAGCCAATTCATGCGGAGAGGGAGCTTCCTGGGAGTATCACCTGTTGTTTTAATAAGAGTCTTCGGAGCTATCCTAGTTGGGGGGACCCAGACTAATAGCTCCATCTACGATAAACAGTGCGTACTCCCTTTCACGCGCACTCAGCCCTTCTACACTCCCATTCTCCAACAGCCCTGCTGTGCTGCCCGCGAGGTACGCTATTGTCAGCTTTCCCACCTGTCTGATTGTATTCTCTATGCAGTTAAAAATCCAACTGTGCATTTGAGAGATGTGAATTGGCACTGGCACTGTTATTTCTGATTCTGCTGAGACTGAATTTGGGGGGCAGTTAGGTAAAGTTAGGTTAGGTCAGGTTATGTCAGCAAAAAATATTTCAGCCATACATTTTAAAATGTGCTCATTGAAAAAATTTTAGTTAACACAACCTGACTTGAGTTTTCTGCAAAAACTAACTTTGGGGGAGCAGTTAGGTAAAGTTAGGTTAGGTCAGGTTATGTTGGTTGAAAATATTTCAACTATGGATTTTATATGCTCATTACAAATTATTTTAATTAACATTAATACATACTTTAACTAACATAACCTGACCTAACCTAACTTTACCTAACCGCCCCCCAAATTCAGTCTCAGCAGAATTCCAATAAAACATTGCAAGTGTCAATTCACGTTGAAATTCACATAGTTAGTAATGAATTTGAATCCAGAATAAAACAGACTGATGGTAGTGTACCACAGGATTAACAGAACAGGGTTGTTTAACGATTGGAGTGTGTCCGCCAAGAACGTTCAGTGTGCCGTTCTTAGCGACATCTATTTAGACGTAGTTTTGCCCTTAGGTCCCCCCAACTAGGATAGCTCTTCCAGACAACTTGAACATAGACCGGAGTTATAGCTGTGGATTGTCGACGCCCAACTTGATATATATTATGTAGAGTAAAGGTTGATCTTGATTGAAAAACAAGTGGTTTTGTGAACATTTTTCTGTACTACAGTACTGTATATGCANGTACTTCTGTATGGCTCAAGCTATTGGCAGGGCTTTATATCTCCCTTCGTTGATACGTGGTTATTCAGTCAAATTGTATTTGTATCGTGCATAATGATTAAAGCCATCCTATTTTTGACAATTCTTGTCGATTTACCGAAAAAGTCCATCTTGAAAATGAATGATCTTTGTCCTTGTCAGTTGAGCAGTCAGAGCAGTCATTTGAGGATTTGAGGTCGATCCCGATTTGAAATTCAAGCACTGAAGTTTCGATGATTTGAAACCTCATTGTATGAGTGACGCAACTGTTTTTTGCCGATTTCGTTAAAATCATGGAGCCAATTCATGCGGAGAGGGAGCTTCCTGGGAGTATCACCTGTTGTTTTAATAAGAGTCTTCGGAGCTATCCTAGTTGGGGGGACCCAGACTAATAGCTCCATCTACGATAAACAGTGCGTACTCCCTTTCACGCGCGCTCAGCCCTTTTACACTCCAATTCTCCAACAGCCCTGCTGTGCTGCCCGCGAGGTACGCTATTGTCAGCTTTGCCACCGGTCCGATTGTATTCTCTATGCAGGTAAAAATCCAACTGTGCATTTGAGAGATGTGAATTGGCACTGGCACTGTTATTTCTGATTCTGTTGAGACTGAATTTGGGGGGCAGTTAGGTAAAGTTAGGTTAGGTCAGGTTATGTCAGCAAAAAACATTTCAGCCATACATTTTAAAATGTGCTCATTGAAAAAATTTTAGTTAACACAACCTGACTTGAGTTTTCTGCAAAAACTGACTTTGGGGGAGCAGTTAGGTAAAGTTAGGTTAGGTCAGGTTATGTTGGTTGAAAATATTTCAACTATGGATTTCATATGTTCATTACAAATTATTTTAATTACCATTAATACATATTTTAACTAACATAACCTGACCTAACCTAACTTTACCCAACCGCCCCCCAAATTCAGTCTCAGCAGAATTCCAATAAAACATTGCAAGTGTCAATTCACGTTAGTCAGTAATGAATTTGAATCCAGAATGAAACAGACTGATGGTAGTGTACCACAGGATTAACAGAACAGGGTTGTTCAACGATTGGAGTGTGTCCGCCAAGAACGTTCAGTGTGCCGTTCTTAGCGACATCTATTTAGACATAGTTTTGCGCTTGGGTCCCCCCAACTAGGATAGCTCTTCCAGACAACTTGAACATCCTGGCCTCAATATCGACACCTAACAGCTGCGGGTTGAACTATATATAATACATCTCATTTCCAACTAGAACTAACTTTTTGTTCACCAAAACACTTGTAAAAAGACATGATGTCATGACATATACGTGGTTCCCCTTGTGATTCAAGTGTTTGAAAGCTGTGTTGGATATTCAGGTGTTTTGGCGTCTCTGAGGCAGCTGAGCACAAACACGAGCATCTTGTCGAATCCGTTGAAGTTGGCGGAAGAAGCAGCTGATGCGGTATCGAAACAGGAGGTGCACGAGGCATCAAACTCAAGTTAACCGATGCGTTCCCACATTGAAGGGGAAGAAGAAGTTACGGAGGAAACCTTTTTTTATTATTTCAAGACGCGTTTGATTATTTGTTTTTATTATAATTTTTTCCTTCAACGAAAGCACTTGCCAGGATACAAGAAAGGATATAAAAATCCGTCTGCGTTCATGTGAACGTTTGTTAACCGCGTTCCTTGATTGGTGATGCGAGAGAGCGAGAGTTGGAAGTGCAATATGCGGATGTTGATTGTATTCATGAGTAGTCATTTGGTTTTTTTTTTCGTATGAAAGAGGTACCAAATTTTTTTTTTTACATTTTATTCGGGGGTTCGGGGTTTCTTTTGTGAAACGGAAAGGCGGGTGCCAGTGTGTTGCCGGATTGTGAGATACCTTTCATTCGTTGGTTGATTGCGTGTAACACTCCTATCGGCCCGCCCCCTATAAAGAAAAAAAAGCAAGCGTTCGCGTATGGAGAACCCTATACCTCTTTTATTAATAAAACGTTCGACACAAGAATATAAAGAAGGAGCCCAGGACCCAACGAAGTTCTACGGAGCTGTATTTTTGGGACTTGTACAAAAGGTGTCAAGTTTTTTCTCCGCAGATTGAATCGCCTTCACTCGGTTTTTAGAAACGAGGACGAGAGTGCACAACGTGGATCGCGGAAGATAAGTGTCGAGTTTCTTGGTGATGACTACGCAGACAACTTCCTATCTGTGAACTTGAGATCATTTGAGTGCCAGAAAGATCGAGGCATTCACAATGACTATTGATTCGAAATCTTCAGATACTCATCGGAGGGCTTGTAAAAAATTGCGGAAGCAAAGAAACCTGACTTGAACCTCATGAATTAGTTTTGGCAGAATATCCATTGCAGTTTAAGTGATGCATTCTTATGTAATCCATACTTGCTTTAAAAAAAAAGGAAAACTCGTGTGAATGTCATGAAAATGAGATAATTTCGGAAAATCGGACAAATTCTTCGCAGAAGTGCATGCAATATTGTGATGCGTATTTTTGTGAGCTGATTTTACTCTCATCGCCTTGCACGTTCTGTTATTGGACTTGCACTTTTATTTTCATTTCTATATTTTTAAATGTCATCATTTGTCGTATTGGCCTGTTAGATTCCCAAATGCCGTGTATTGGTTTCGCTTCTGCAGCTCACATATATCTGCGGGTCGTGATGAGAAATTCAGGTGAACCTCAGACGCTAAGTTCTTCCCGGAAATTTGAGAAATTCTTGCGTCGGTCCTGCTGGAGTTCGAACCCACTTGAGTGTGACAGTTCTAATGGCGTAGTTGACTACCGGTAGTAACTTTAATAACTACTAAAGTGTGAATAAACTTCACGCCTCTCTCTTCAACCTCCAAACATTTTTAAAACACTTTTTAGTTGAACGCTTATCAGTCGGGCTCGAAACTTCTGATGCTACGGTTAACTGCGGAGAAAGTCAACTGGATCCTAAGCAAATTGAAATAGGAAGTCATTTTTAGTGAGTGCGTGTTGGACGAAGGAAAATTGTCTGCAGTCACCTGATTTTTCATTTTCTCTGCGAAGTCTCCGAACATTTGCCAAGAAAAATTCGAGATTCTGAAGCAAACTGGAAGTACACTACTGTATCTTTGATTTTTCCGTCATTTCGCATTTGCCTGGTTGAAATTTACTGACATTATTCCAAGATCGAATGATCCAAATTGTGGTAATTTTCCCTTGCATTCATGGCAGAATAATCCCGGGTCTAAATGGAAGGAATTCACCCTCCAATTTCATTCAACATTCAGGAATATTTTATCCTCACGCAGCAGATTCCGATTATGGCATTGATAATTATGAAAAAAAAAGCTGACTAGTTTTCTACAAGTTCAAAGCAGCTGTATAGGATTATCCTTGTCTATTCGAGATTGATCTGTAGTTCTGTTGTTGTTGCTGTAAAATGTAACAAATTTTAGAGGTACTGTATTTACTATACCTTCCCCGAGAAGATTTCTGAGGCATGTATTCCTGAAAGCGGTTACTCCTACAAATCCAAAATTAGGACTAGAATATGCATTTTTTAGCGGTACAGGTACTTGAGGTCTTGGGCGAGAAGTAGCTTTTCTCCGAAAAGAAATGACCTGCTATGGGAACGAAGAATAATTACATCGGTGATTATCCAAGTATTCAACTGGTGTTATACAGTACTTGCTGCGATGCAATTGCTGAAAATTATTACGAAATTGCGAAATCCACATGAATGTATAAACTCGGAGTCCGTGTCGATGTGTAGAGAGGTCCTGTGTATTCTCATTCGTGGTACTGAATTATCCTACTTCTTCTGTGATCTGCAATTGCAATTGAAAATAAAGATAGTTCATGATTTGAATGTTTCTTTTACAGATGTATTCATATTTTATGATAAGATTGGATTGTGTTGTGAGTGTTTAATGACTAAAGTGATTTCTCAAATGTGCCGACGATGAGAAAATGGTGTCCTTCGGTGAGATTCGGGTTGATCTCCGCATGGGGATCCTTCGCGGTTGTCGGACTCTCTCTGTTCCTTGGGTCGAAGTGGTTCAAATTGAGCACCTGCGAGGTCGATCTTGTCAAATTCAAGGAATTCGTGAGTCGTTCATCCGATTTATAATAATGGTCCATCTCATGGCGATCATGCCTGACGAATTCTGAAGTAATTGCGTTTAGTGAGGTTCTATTCGCGGATACATTCTCAAGAACTGACGTGAACAAACATCCGGATTTCTGTGATGTATTACTGTACCCAAGGTTGCTCTCCGAAAAATCCGGCAGATGTTGCTTGAAACAACTTCCTAAAGATATCCTCACAGATTCATGAATGAGCCTAGTCATAAACACAGTAATCTAGAATTGGTACACAAAAATCAAAATTGACTTGCCTAAAAAACATGAATCTTCCAACTTACCAAGTAGTGTGCGTGTAACCTAACCTGTTATCACCTAAGTAAATTTGAGGGTTAGTAAATTTTTACGAGGATTGGAACCCTTTCTATTGTGTGTACAGAACTGACAATTGGGATGGATTTTAATGATTAGGCACCGAATACGTTAATTTACCTGACCTGTCATCCCCTAACCAAATGGGTCCGGGTTAGTACATTTTCACAATGATTGAAACATTTTTGTTGCGCGGAAAGAACTTGAAATCGTGATTGATATGAATTATTAGGTACCGAATACTTTCATTTATGGCAGTAACGACCATGAAAAGTGGACATTTCGAGTTTGTGAGTCGAAGAAAGAAGTCCTATCGTGAGTCTTGTGTGTTCTGCATTACTAATTACTTTGAAAAATGACTCCGCGATTTAAAATAATTCGGATCTTCTTAACCTTGTGAAAGTTAGTACAAGTTGAACCTTGATAAGTCAAATACCTCCCAATGTCAAATTATTTTCAAGTCCCCATCTGAATTTCTTTGAAAGCAATATACAGTATTAGAAACCTCCCTACAGTCTTTTTCTCTCAAACATCCTTGAGTCAAATTTTCTGCAGTCTTTTGGCTATCATTATCTTGATGCATGAAAGAGAAAAGCAATGAAACAAGTAACTTGATATGTTTTGAAAGGAAGTGACTGACTAATTTGAAAACAACAACAAAGAAACCACGACCGAAGCCATTGTCCAGCATGCTGTGAACTCATTTGAGAATCAATTTTTAATGCCCACGATACCACCTTCTAGATTTTCCTGCAATTCTTTCATGTTTCTGGCGAAAAATGCTTGTTTCCCCAACTATAGAAACCTTCCTGAATGGAAACCTTCCTAAGTCAAACTTTTCCTGGTCCCTTTAAATTCAGCTTAGAGAGGTTCAACTAAACCGTAAATATTCAGGCAACATCTAGTTCAAATTAAAAAAGATTGCGGCGTTGGGGACGTTGGGTTTAGTCAAGAGGACCAAGTTTAGATTGATTACCGTAATTCCTTTTGCATTTTGTCTATCGTTGGGAACTTCCTGTACATGGTTCTCGCAATTTTCGCCACTGTAGAACCACTATATTCTATTTTCACGCCTCAAGCCCTAAATTAGAGGCCTACTCATTGACCAAAATAACGGGGCTCAACGTGTTGTGCGAGAGACTACACCGGTAAAACCACCACACCGCTTGAACCAAGACGCCATGTTGGGGGTCATAAATTGCTAAAGCCATGATGCATTCGATGAACAAAGAATTCCCTCCCAATTTACTGTACCGTATTTTCAATCGTTTTAAAGTTTTCTTTTAATGGAGGGTAAGGAAATTTTCGCTTCGCAGTGTGGGTCGTTGACGGGTGTACCCTCTGAAGCGCAGCTGTTGCTGTATCACATCTGCTCTGACGAGAACTTGGAAAAACGGGTTTCATGTTTCGAAAATCATCACGGAGCTTCAAAGATTGTACTTAAATACGAATGCTTTCTGAATTCGTCGAAAAACTGTGCTGTTCATCCGTCAGTTCCCGCACCTTACGTTATCAAGTCGGAAAGAGAACCTCAGCCCATGACCCCGACATTCGACTTGGAAGAAATCTGTGAAATTTTACAATTGAATTACGGCGTTGATATTTGCCGGGACTCGGGTGACGTGGACCTACCTCAAAATTCAGTGGATAAATTGAACGCGTTGAAGTCGATGGAGACCTTGGCGGAAGTTTTCTGGGGCTTTTCCTTGCCTGCGTTTTTCCCTCGAGTTTTATCCGTTCATGATAACTGGTACGTCGTGGAATTTTTACCCACGATAGAACCTGGAAAGAGTAACGATAAAGTGAGTCTGACGAAGAATTTGCTGTCATTTTTGTCGAACCTGGAAGTTCGTTCGGAGCAAAGATTTGGCAATTCTCTGGTTCTCTGTGACTGGAAGCTGGAACATTTTGGGACGTAAGTCTGGGAAATTTTTGTCGATACTTCCATATCTTCCCCAGACACTCTGTGTTGCATTTCCGAGGTTTGTCCCACTTCCGCGCGTAGTTCGATATTTTTGATGTTTTTGAAAATGGAAAAAAGGGGGCCCCGAGATGCGGACGTTATAGATACTTGGACCTCATTGTCCTTATGTCGGAATTTCCGAAAGTCTGATCATGTTTTCTCATAGGCTTCAATGGGAACATATTTATTGGCTTCCCCTCTTCTTCACTAAACAAAGAAACTAATCCTGCTGACAAATGTGACAATCATGCCGATTTTATTCTCTACTTTACCGTGTAGGAAATATCTGCGTGTAGGAAATATCTGCGCAGAAGAGAATAATACAGAATACTGTATGTCCTTCTGGCATGAAAATGATTCCAAAAGATGGAAAAAGGCCTACAGAAAGAGAAGCGAAAAAGGAACTTGTTTTGGATTATGAATGAGAGTAAATTTGTGCAAGGATTATTTGTGATTTTTGTCTAGAGAAATACTTGTAGCCCAACTTGTTCACGAGATATTGTATTACAATTCTGAAAAATAACGTTTTCCTATTTTTCTTTATATATTGGCAAAGTGTCCGTACCTTGAGACATTGACGAGGAAGCGGGTCACATGTATGTGTGATGTACAGTATATACAGGACCGTATTTCGAGTTTCAATTCTCCTCAAGTCGAATCGTTCGTATGTCGGGGCCCCACTCTACCAAAACTCACCACTTCCATGATGTTCTGAGTATTTCATATTTGAAAATTTCTTTAACCATGTTTGAGATATCCAAGTACGCGCGGCAGTGGGACAACCCTTTTATTCGGCATCATTTTGTTTAAGATCCGCTGGTAATTCAAACTTGAAACGTTTTTCATTTTAATTTTCATCAATGAAAACCCGCAAATCCTCCACATTATTTTTAATACACTGCTCATGAGAAAATATATAATGCAAAGCAATTGTTGGAAGTGTTGTTTACATTTGAAAGCAATCCACGATCAGGCAAAATAATATTTTTCCACTCACTAGTCTTGCATGAAGATGTATTTTAAGGTACAGGTATTTTGGAACGATTTCCTTGTCCAGCATGAGATTTTTGAAGTAATTTTTATCTTATTGATCTTTGAATTTTTAATGTTTTGCATCAAGTTTTCCCCTCGAAAGATTTCTACAAATACCAGTAGATTTGAGGATTTTTCTTGATGCTTGAAATAGACTTCCACTTATGAAATGTTTTTCCCATCACAAATTGAACAGGGCATTTAAGCTTGTTCAAGTTCGGTTCCTTGATGCACAATAGGTTTTTATTGTGCATTCCGATCATCATAAATTTAAAATTATTTGTTGTAATTTTAATATTTAATGATTCAGCGTCATACGAAGAGAAAAACTCCATTCGAGTTTCTGCGGAGTTCAGGCGGCAGTGTGGAAAAAAATAATACTGCACTGGATTCACTTTTCGATGCAATTTTAAAGGATTTATTTGGTTTCATTCAGGAACGGGAAGGGTGAATTCAAAATCCTGGATGCGGACGCTGTCTTTCTCTTGGAACAAATGCCAAAGATAATTTTTCCGGAGGGGGAAGGATGCTCGACGGACGAAGACTGTTCTTTCTTCGACTGTCGCGAGATTTACGGTTGCGAACACGGGCGATGCGTGTTGAAAGAGACTACTTCTAAGCGGAATTATAACGCGGGAATGTTTTGCGAGAAGGTTGTGAAAATGGTGGATAATTTTTTCCTGGTCTGGCTCGAGAAATTCATGTTTGGTGGGATCCCGCCGAGGATCACTGGCGGAGGAGACAGTTTTGATTGGGATATTTTGCAACTCTGTCAGCAGCTTTAATAAAATCTGGTCCAGAGCCATTTTTTATAATTTTTCTTCTCTCATTATCTCGCCTGAAGGCTTACCGTAATTTGTAAAGGGTGAAAGAGGAATTCAGTCATTTTTCGGCTTTGTTTTTGGCGCTTGTGTTGTTGTAGAATGCTTCATGCGTGCGGTTTCATTTTCGCGGCAGAATTTCTATCAAATATCTCTGCGCTCCATTATTCCGTGAGTCCATAGAAGCTTCCTTTAAAAACAAAAAATCTTTCAAAAAAAAAAAAAGCAACAGGAGCAGACTTAGCTGGAATATATTGATTGTTGGATCAGGAAGCGTCAATTCGGTTGTGAAAAGGAGCAGATATGTTCTTCGAAATCTCTGAAAAATTTCATAGTGCTTATCGTACGTTTTTTTGAAGTCTTGAATTTTCTCTTTGCAATGTGTAGAAACAGAAAAAAACCAGCGTAAAGTATCGATAGAATTTTGATACTAGATGTTTCATTTTAATAGAAAATTAGAGGCGAAGTTGGCAAATGAAGTTCAGGTGAACATTCTCTACTGTCGTTTGTCAATTTCCGAATGATAGGGTAAACTTGAGCTTTCCTAATGCTCTGATAGAAGTTAGCTTGACAGTTGACCCAATGTCACCATTCTCATCCCTGTCATCCTATCATGTATGCTTGACATTGCATTTAGAATCAACGTCTACCTCAGAAGGACGAAAAAGCACAATAATTATTTGATACATATAAGGGTGCTTAAGTTCATATACCGTAATCTTGATAAATTTCAACGACCAAGACGATGCTCTTATGCAGAAGTCCGTCAATCAGATGTGACCCAATGCGGAACAAAACACCAGACAAATTCCACGTCTCCAAAGTATCCCGAATTAATTAATTGAATCGTAGATAAGAAACAACGCAAGCGCCTAAAATAATCAAGGTTTGGTTTAGTTCGAATCTTGCCGAAACATACCCAAGTTGAAAAAAAAAATTATCCTGTGATGGTGATTGAATTCCTCTCAGATGAAAGCTTTTTCCACTGTGCAATAATCTGAAAATTTTCACGTGAATTAATTCTGCTGTTGTTTTCAGGAGGTTTTTTTCCCCTCGATTCTGGTGGTTTGATTCAGTTTTAAAGGCTTCCTTTTGCTCCATTCAGCCAGGATCATTCTTGCGTCTGAAGAAAAGGTACAGTGCAGTATCAATCTCGCAATCATTGATGTACTGTATTTTTGAAAATTTCAATTGAATTCATGGATATGCAGGTATGGAGAACTGTGTGCTGCCGGTCATTGTTAAGATAGAATCTGCAGAAGGAGGATGTGTGCAAGATGGATTGGACATCAAAGACTTTTTTTCACACCTACAGTTTGTGCTCGTTGTAGAAGTTTGAACGTCTCCTCCAAACAACAAATACGTAATGACTTCATATAAACATAGTGTCATAAGGACACATGTTGTAAAAAGACTTCACTTACGTATAGACACTGGGTCAAAGACTATATTTCTCCCATCTGACCCATCAGTTGACATATGAATTTAAAGAATTTAGATGATTTCTATCGCATTGTCCCAGAGTTCTGCGGTTGCATTCGCTTATTTTTAGCTGTGATATATTCGCAGAAAATCCCCCAATCCAACTCTTTCCCATCTTAGTTCAACTTTTTTTTTTTTACATAAGAGGAGTTCGTAAAGCTATTGGGCATGTTTCAAATGTGCTTCTTCTAGTTCGATTTCCTGTTCAGTACGTGACATATAGTATATGAAACAATCATTCATCAAATGCACAAGTTCATTAATTACCACCAAATTATGAATAAAATAAAAAAACTAATAATGTCTCATAAAATGCTGTGCATCAGGTATGGAAGAACTGAAAGAAGAATTCCCTTTCAAAACTTTGGATGAGAAAAAAGCAGCAATGCATGACAATCCTGAAACGCATTCTTCAAGTGTTTCCTGCCTTGAAGTTGAAACACTGCAAAGAGAGGTTTACATTACAAGTGACAAAACTGCTGCAATTGACTCAAGTATGGAACAAAATTTGGAAGAACCAGACGAATCCCAAGTACAAGTTAAATAACGTGTTCATTGCAATCCTTTGGAAAGTGTTCGTTTGTTATATTTCTTTGATGACGTTTGTTTCTTCCTTCTCATCTGTGTCTTTAGCACCTAGCGAAGAAATCTCTCAAAGTTCTTCCGCAATACATGAGTTGCTGTCAGCAGAAGTTGATGAAAGCAATAAGGATGGAGGTGCAGCAGTGGTGCAGAGGTGTTCCCAGCGAATCAGACAATCAAAAGGTATATGTACCAGTGATGTTTATCAAGCAGCTACAATTTTTGTGCACTACTCTTATGAAAATTGAACCTCAAAAAACTCCATTAATATAATTATTTTCAAGTCCCTTTCTGAATTCCCTTAGAAGTAGTGCAATTTAAAACCCATCACAATTTTAAGAAATTTCCTCTCAAACCTCGAAGACTCATTGGAAAAATTGAACCCTTGCCTCGAAGTTCAGCAACTTTTCAAATCATTTGATGAGAAGCAACTTAAGGCCCAGAATATTACCATTTGCAATTTCCTACAATTTTTCTATTTTTTCCACAGCAAAGATACACTCATTTCCCAGACTCAATTTAGCTCTTGTCTCTTTTGAAATTTTACTGAGGGAGCTTTGACTGTAGAATCAACAGTATGTTCCAGTTCCTGAATTAAAATTGATGCTATGGTTATTTGAGTTGTGTATTTTCAACTTGATAAGATACAGTACATGGATTTGTTATTCAAAATACTTATCCTAACATGCAAATGCAGGACAGAAAAGGCGCAGATTCAGTGAAAGCACAACAAGTGAATCTGATGATGGATATGACAAAGAAGAAAGTCCTCCCGCTGCTTCCAAACGTGGGAAACAAAATAAAGTCCATGCCAACAGTGAGTACAGTTTATCCCAGCAAATAATTTTATAAGGCCCAAGCTGGATGTAACAGGTATGCATAGCAACATGTGGTGGCTGTGCATAGCCAGTTATGTCCAGCTTTTACTGCTATGCCTGAACAATTTCTGTTGACTTTGGGGCCTGAAGGTAGCAGGAATTTTTCCTGTAGCAGATTGCCCAGGTTTTCACCCTCATCTAACTGGTATCACATGGGTTACAATCACCTGTATTGTGATACGCGTACTGGGATGTATCTGTTTGTGTGATTTCCATAAGAGACAGGCATATTGCAATATGCCTGTCTGTTACAGGTGCAGTCATATCTTGATACACATGCTATTTAAATGTTGAGGAAGGCGCAGGCGTGTAACACGGGTACTAGACCCATATTCTGAAATACAGGTACTGAATAAATGAAGGGCCACTTGTATACTGTATTGTCAGGAGAGGGCTTTAAAAATGGCGTGGTGCTCTTTCATTGCAAGAAGCAGAGCATGTTCATTGTATGGAGTAGGGGGAAAGTGTAGAGCTCTTTCATTGCAAGAAGCAGCACATTTTCATCGTACAGAGCTGGGTTAGAAAATAGTGCTGTGCTTTTCTAATGCCAGAATCAAAACTTGTTTGTTGTACATACCCAGGAAAACCAAAGGCATTTTGTGATAGTGTGTCAGAAAGTTGCATGGTAATAACATGCCCAACTTGGTGTCAACTTCCCATCCTTTTGTAACATGTGAATAAGTGTTGTGAAGTGAGCAATCTCATGCTGTCATACTTCCAGAAGACATTAAATTCACACTAGAATAAACATGTCTAAATTTGCACTAGAATCTACATGTTTAAAAGTGACTTGGGTTTAACATGTAAAAGTGGTGTCACAAAAAAAACATGTGAGGCGCTCCAAAATTTGGATGCGTTTTTTACGCATCCTGCAAGGACATCATAGTTTGAGAATTGAGTACGCCTCACAGAAATGTTTTAATTACATGTGAAAATTCAACAGAATAGCAGGGGATGCTGTGTGGAAAAGAAAAAAATTTATGAGGGTGTAGAATATTTGGGTTTTATGGTATTAAATGTACAGGATTACACCAGTGTGATGTGCATATAAATTGTCATCACTTTTTAAATTATACACATACATTCATGTAATTCTGCAATACTTATTTATAGAGTATATAGCAAAATAAGATGATTTCATATTGCAAATAATAATGTATGAAACAGAAGTATGAAAGAATTTAATATAAGTGAATATCAAAATATATTGTACACTGCATACATCTGTAGTAAACTTGTACACAATTACATCAGTAATGCTTTTTCTGTACCATAAGTTGTGGCAAATTCCAATATGATTAAACTTGTAACACTTCCCCTGTGGAAGCAGTAAATTCCAATACAAGTCAAATTGTAATGCTTTCATTCAGTGTTAATGGTAACTTCCATTATTATTACCCAGGAAAACCAAGTGCTGCACAGTTCATTGAGTCAGAAAAAGTCACTGAGATGACATGTCCTGTATAGAGTCAGAATGCAGTCATTTCCAGACATGGTAAAAAGTGATGGTCTGAAGACGCAAGGTTAGTGAATCTCATGTGGACATGTATGAAAAGGACTGGAAGTTGACTACCAAAATATGTCAGTTATAGGAAGAGTGTGACACATCAGAAATGGACATGACTGTGACGCAGGTATAAATGCAGTGAAAAGCTTGTATGAAATTGGGACACGTCAACATTGCGCAAGGGAATGATGGACTGCTTCAGAAGCGCATCAGATCCATCAATAAAAGTATATTTAGACAATTATGAATTGAAATGAGAAGGGAAATTTATATTTCAGTGTATTACATTGAATTGTTGTATTGTAGAAATGCGCAAAAAAATTTATATTTCATGTTCTGGATCGTCACATAAATAATTTTATAATTCACATTTGAGAACGTGAATTAAAATTTAGGGTTATAGAGGGGTTGTATATATTAGGGTTATATATATACGTGACATTTGGGAATGTGAATTATACTTTTTATATTTGCGGATTTTTCACACCAATTCCAAATTTCACAATTCAATTTGAACAATTCAAATTCAAACCACACAAATTTGAATTGAAGCAAGTATGAACAATTCAATGCAATACACTGGAATATACATTGCCCTTATCATTCAAATTCAGGCATTGAATTGTGAAATTTGGAAAATCCACAAAAAGAAAAGTATAATTCACATTCCCAAATGTCATGTATAATTTTTGTTTATTCTTCACGTTTGGGAACTTGAATTATACTTTTCAAGTATAATTCACGTTCCAAAACATCAATCCTGTAGAAAAACGTTTAATAAAGCGTATTGTGTCTGTATAACGCAAATGTAAAAATTTCTGGTCAATGAAAAAAAAATTTATGTCACGTTTGGGAACGTGAATCCCATTTTTGGAATGGGACTTATACCTTTTTTTTCTTCTAAACATTTTACATCTTCAATATACAGCTACAATACGCTTCATTAAAAGTTGTCATACCATATCATGTATATAATAAATAGTTGCAAAACTTGAAGAAAAATTTCCCAAAAATTTGAGTCACATTCCCAAATGTGACATGAATATCTTATTTTTATGAACCAAAAAAGTTTACAGTGGCATTATACAGACACAAAATGCTATATTAAACGTTTTTAGGTCATACAATATAATGTATATAATAAATACTTGCAAAACTTGAAGAGAAATTTTCCAAAAATTTGAGTCATGTTCCCAAACGTGACTTATAAATTTTTTTTGTCAACTGAAAAAATTAAAATTTGCATTATACAAACAAAATGCTTTATTAAACGTTTTTAGGTCATACAATATTATGTAAATAAAATAAAAGTGCAAAACTTGAAGAAAAGGTTTCTGATAATTTGAGTCATCTTCCCAAAAGTGACATAATTTTTTTTCTTGACCAAAAAATTCTGCATATTCATTCTATGCATATGAATATACCAGCAATATGCTCAATAAAATGCTTATTTTTAATCATTATTTATATCTATACATTTCCACGACATGCCCATCACTATATGTCTTCATTAACGTATCTACTTTCAGATGAAAATGCTTTTCAAAAGGATGCTGCAGGACTTAACATGCTGGAACCAATGTCAATTCTGGCATTGGTTGATGAGAAAAACTTCATTACAAACCAAGTTGTGCCATTCTTGCTTGGGCTGGAAGCAAGTGGTGCGGTTCTGTCAGAGGAGCTGAGAAAACAGTTAGAGGGTTTGAAAAGCACCCTTAACGACCACACATTGAGTGCACCATATGAGGCAGATGTCTTCAAGTACACTCCAGAGAATAAGGAGATTCTCAAGTGTATGGATTCACAACTGCAAGAGGCAATGGAACGGGGATGCCAGATGTATCGTCAAGTGTATGAAGCACACTTCAAGTCAACTGTTGCCTTGTACCTGAAGCTGTTGAAGGTGGATGCCTTCTACAAGGAGGAGGAGTGGGACAATGAGGAGGTTGACTTGGGGCCATATCCCCGAAAAGTGACTCCATGTGCCTCCAAACAGGCACAAAGTGATCATATGGATGGGAGGCTTCAGTCAATCTTCGATGTGAAAAAGAATCTGGACAACCTCAAATCCATATGTCGGAAGGAAGTGATTGGACATGACACTGCCCAAGTTATCTATGTTGCACATGGACTGTCAGTTCGACTGGATGATCATGAACTCTTCATGATAGCAGTGAGGAATGCATTGTTGATGAAAGAATCACCCTGGAAGATAAAGAAAAATGATGCTGCATCAAATGAAGCTAAGTCATCAATTCATGACCTCTGCAGAAGGATGTTTTGGCCAGGGCCAACATTCAAAACAATTGTGAACCCAGTCCGAAGAAATCTGTTTGGGAAATCAAGTGACAAGATTGATTTCCATGATAAACGTCAAACTACCATGATGAGTGAGTATTGATTATTAATTAATGCCATATAAACTTGTGTTACATATTTATTATTTGTCTTTACAGAATATGTTGAGGCTGTCTACAAGTTTGTGCGCAGGTCAATCCTTGAAAATAAAACCGCACAGGTCAGCAGGCACCCATCAATCCAACCATTTGAAAAAGCAGTGAAGGACATCACTGCAACCTTCAGGAGTAGACTGTCCCACATCCGAGACAAGGAGAACAACAACATCCTAACAAAGATAGGATCAAATGTGAAGTGGTACAGAAGTGTTTGGGCCACAAAAAACCGCAAAAATAAAGTTTTTGAAGTTGTTACGGTTACACCTTCAAATCCCGTTGGATGCGCGGTTAAACGCAGGCTTCGAGAATGTGACAATGATGCTGATGATGATAATGAATATGATGACTGATGATTTTTTCATGCTTTACAGAAAATTTGGTTTCTTTGGCTTCACTATGCATTGCTGTGATTGTTTGGTTGAAGTTATTGTTTATGTTCATAAATTTGTGCATACTTCTTTACAGTTTTACAAAAGTGTGTCTTATTTCATCCATATAAGTTGTTATCTGTATATATGCACCCATGCATTTGTGAAGTTTCAGTTTGTCAAGTTTTTTTCTCATTTCTCTATCATTCTTTAAAATGCGTTGAAAGTATATGACAGCTTCCTCAATCCCTTCCTTTATTTTCTGTTGTAATTTGTAGATTTCCCCTGATCTCTGATGCTCCCTTTTCAATGCATCAATTCCCTGCTTCCAGAATGTATCTCAAGTTTGAATTTTTTAAAGTTTTGCATGTCCTAATCTTTATTTGTGATTTATTCAAAATTATTGCGTCAAAAAGCTTCAGTCATAGGATGGAAACGATTGCTTGTTGTGAACTCTAATGTTTCTGTGTATCCCATGCAGATTCATCGTCCTGCGAAGTGGCCGGTGCTCTGGAGTCTGCTGATCCTACTGGCAAGCCCATGAATTATCTGCCAGTAATCGAGGTGCCAGGGAAGAAGAAAGGCTCATTGCTCTATCACTGCGCCATGGACTCCGGTGACTATTATTATATCAGACTTGGAGGAAAGCACTGGTCAAGCGGAAGGGATTCCCATGACAATTGTAGTAGTGTATCAGTAAGATGTTACAACAAAAACTGTCATGGAAGAGCAATTGTGGATCTTCCAGAATTGATGGCAAGAGAAAGTAGAGGACATGCTGAAATGTGTGCTTCGTTTTGTGCTTCGGTCAAGGAGGACTTGAGGGCAGCAGAACTGGCTAAGAATTTGTTTCGAGAGAATCCCTTGATTTCAACTCTGGAGTCCGTAAAACAAGTCATTGCGAGGCAAGTTCGGTCTTCGTTCGTAACTTCGTATACTGGCATTTTATCAGAACCGAACCTAAGCATTTTTTCTAAGGAAATTACAGTAATAAGGGCCGTGAGAAAAGTGTGACATGAAGAGATATTTGACTCTTGGATCGAGGTTCAACTGTAATGTATAATTGCTCATCAGCGTGTATAACAGATATGTGACAACCCTCGTACGTCACTTGAACTCGAGCATAATTTTACATACGTCACAGGAATCAACTGAATGAAGGCATCAGGCGGTTTCGTTATGAGGAACGTGCTAAGAGAGACTCGCAACGCGTCAAGGATAAAGAAATCAAGGAAAAAGAGTATTATCACCTGGGTGAAGAGAAGGCTGTGCATGCACACGGTATTAATGTTGAGTTTGAAAGCGTGATCAACAAGTGGTATGATCGGGCAGGTTATCGCAAGTTCGATGCCCCTTCTGTACGCTGAAACTTTTTTTCATATTTTGTATGCATCTTTTGTTACTGGTAGGAGTATGATGTGTGCACGCATTTTGTGTGTTGTACATTTTTTAAAAATTGAATCATTCGTACCTTTCTTACGATTCGAAATTTTTGTAAGCCCTGGTATGAACGTAGGACAACGCACAGTGAACGGAATCCCATTGAACAATTCTATACAAATGATCCTGAGAGGACATTCCATGGGACTTATCCTGGAGAAGCCTGCTATATGGATGCTTCATTTTTTTTTTTTTTTTTGCTGGGAAAACGGAGCCTCAATTCCTGATTTTTCTTTTTTACAGCCTTAAAAAATGAAAATAAAACCCCAGCTTCGTAATTCGTGGAAACGTTATTTTTAATTTTTTTGTTCGTGCGAGTCTTCAAATAAAATTCTTCAGATTCAAGAAAGCAGTTCTGCTCAAGGACCTTGTTGAGTATTTGTGCTTCATCCGCTTTGTATGTTGGCATTTGTCGATGAGTATAATTAATGCTGCTCTTTATTTTTCAGAGGCCTGTGTGGTATATTATTATCAGGGATTCCCGGAAGTGCATTGTGATGATTCAAAGTAAAAACCAATGTTTCGCCGCGTGTTTAGCCTGCCTGGTCTGTTCTTCTTCGCATGAAGTTGATCAAGTGATTTTTGCTTTTTACACTGCTATGAAAATTATCGTGTATATATGAGTGTAGTCTTTTTCAAGCTTGGATTTAGGTCCGTTTCAAGCTTGGATTTAGTTGAGCAGTAGAGGGTCACCGAAGTGCAGAAACACATAACTATTTTCTGCATAATATGAGCACTAAAAGACTTTTGAACTGCTGATGGAGAAGACTCCTCCTCTCAATGCCGAATTTACTATGGGAAAAATGTTTTAATGGTTTCGAAAGTCTTTTGTTTATCTATACTGTATTATGGGGTTTAATTGCCCGTCTTCATCTGGAAGGTTGAGGCAGTAAAATATCTAAAGAGGGCTGTTGAAACTTATCGGAAGCAAAGCAACCTGATTTCTCCTGTGCAAATAAGAGGCTACATCCCTTCCAGGTAACAACTTTTTCCGGCTGTAGGGTAATGTTTCTAACATGCCTGTTTTAGGCTTGTGCATTCCGTATAGGTGTCGTGTTTTTGCTGCCCAGCTTTTGCTGTCTTAGCCGGAGTTATTCCAGAGTCTGACGGACGGGTAATTATTTTAGAAATAATCCTCACAGTTCTGTATTTTAATAATGAGTACTGTAATCCTTGTATGATGCAGGTATGGATAACCGTTTGCCAGTCGTTGTCAAAGTGGAAACTGCCAAAGGAGGATGTGTGCCTGATGAAGATAATGATGGATTCCTGGATGTGAAGGACTTCTTTGCAGTGGATGAAAAACATGAGGAACATCTAAGCACTTGCAGAGGTTCGTTTTCGTTGCAAAACTGAAGGGCATTATTCCTGTGTTCATCGTTAATGAAACGAATCTGCACATCTAGGTCTTGATGATGAGGAAGTGTCTGTCGACAGTACGACATCGATTGGTTCTGATGTAGAAGTCGCACTGGTTGGACGAGAAAGGAGTGAAGAACCTGAAGAAGCTTGCCAAGGTGAAATACTGTTGTAATAGATTTCCCACTCAATTGTTGATTCTTCTTCCGCTTTGAAAAACCTTGGAATGATGAAGTATGTGATCCGAAAGTGGGACATATAGATGAGTGTCACACTTCTTCGAAATGTTACCCAATTCTTACTGTGTCGAATTTTTGGCTGAGAAAGATCAAAAGGAAAAAGAGAGAATGGCCGAAATCGGACGTGTTGGACGACATTATTTCGATTCAAGTATGGATCAAAGAAATTGAAAAATATGTTTTTCTAATCTGCCAAGAATGTTATGAAAATCCGGAAAACCGAAGAGACAATTCAAAGGAACATTGTTGTACAGTACTCCTTTTTTTTCTCGCACAGATACTACAATTTTGAACCAGAGGATGACCAGAGCCAAATTTTCGCAAATTCTGCAGACGACACATGTTGACCCGATGAAGGATGATGCGCAGGTCGATGCTCGTGAACCATGTGTGGCCCGAAAAATTAAAGGTGGAAGAAGATCGTCTCATCCTGATCAGCGTATTCAAAGTCATCGCAAAGGTGCGTCACTTCAACTGATTTTAAGGCGCTTATGCAAGTAAATCTCATTAAAGCTAATCTCTTACAGTATTACAATGAATTTTGATGTGCACCACGAATTTTGATGCGCACAACAAATTCGTTCATTTGGTCCCTCCATTGCAGAGGTTTGTTGTAGTTGCAAAACTGATATGCCTTATTCCTGTGCTTCAGGAATAATGCATCAAACTCATTTGAGAAGCAAGTTAAGGCCCAGAATATTACAATTTCCTGTAAGATTTCTATTTTTTACACCGCAAAGATACTCATTTCCCAAACTCAATTTTTCTCTTGTCTCTTTTGAAATTTTACTGAGGGAGCTTTGACTGTAGAATCAACAGTAGGTTCCAGTTCCTGAATTAAAATTGATGCTATGGTTATTTGAGTTGTGGTATTTTTAACTTGATAAGATACATGGATTTGTTATTCAAAATACTTATCCTAACATGCAAATGCAGGACAGAAAAGGCGCAGATTCAGTGAAAGCACAACAAGTGAATCTGATGATGGATATGACAGAGAAGAAAGTCCTCCTGCTGCTTCCAAACGTGGGAAACAAAATAAAGTCCATGCCAACAGTGAGTACAGTTTATCCCTGCAAACAATTTTCTAAGGCCCAAGCTGGATGTAACAGGTATGCATAGCAACATGTGGTGGCTGTGCATAGCCAGTTATGTCCAGCTTTTACTGCTATGCCTGGACAATTTCTGTTGACTTTGGGGCCTGAAGGTAGCAGGAATTTTTCCTGCAGCAGATTGCCCAGGTTTTCACCCTCATCTAACTGGTATCACATGGGTTACAATCACCTATATTGTGATACGCGTACTGGGATGTATCTGTTCGTGTGATTTCCATAAGAGACAGGCATATTGCAATATGCCTGTCTGTTACAGGTGCAGTCATATCTTGATACACATGCTATTTAAATGTTGAGGAAGGCGCAGGCGTGTAACACGGGTACTAGACCCATATTCTGAAATACAGGTACTGAAATTTACTTCCCGGTGAACATATGACATAACAGTCCTCTCCCGAAATTTTTACCGCACCACGAGAAAGTAACGTTCTTCGTCTCGTACAAGTAACATACCTCATCCCCCTTTCACATCTCGAGAAAGTCTGCAAGAAGCAGTGCATCTTCATTGTACAGAGCTGGGTTAGAAAATAGTGCTGCACTTTTCTACTGCAAGAATCAGGGCTTGTTTTTTGTACAGAGCAAGGTTAGAAAATGGTGAGCAGTTCATTCATTTAAAGAAGGGTTGCTTGTTCATTGTACACAGTGGGGTTAGAAAGTAGAGTGGAGCTCCTAAATTGTGAGAAGGGACACCTATTCATTGTGTGGAGTGGGATTGGAAGACCATTAACATGGTCTTGAAGACCGTGTAACAAGAACATTGAAATCAAAAAGAAAAAAGAAGGCTTTTTGTTGCAGGAGTTACTTTTTTTACAGTAAGCAAAATTCTTTATGCTGATTAATTTAATTTCGTTTCTGAAATTTTAGCCTGCACTGTCCCATCTTGCTGAGTCAGCATCTGCATGTTGGGCCTAACAAAAATTCTCTTGAGACATAAGTGTCCCTCTGTCAAATTGTCTGTGAACATGTGGACCTTTCACTGTACTTGCAATTTTTGTTGCAATGCCAAGCTTTTTATATGTGTTCATTTAGCTTTATGTTACAATTTATCAAGAAATGGAAGAAGAGAACATGAGAGTACAAGTGATGAAAATTTGCTTCATCATACAACGTTCTCAAAACAATGCCTGAAGAACATACAAAAGCACACCTACAGAATGTGCAAGGCAACACATACAGAATGTACAAAACAGCAGATTCAGAAGGCAGCTACAAGAAGCAGAACATTTTCTTCAACGCAGAAACACAATTTGCAAAGAACCACTTCAAGCATCACAAGTATGAGACATATCTTCTTCACAGCAGTCTTTTCCTTAATATCTAAGCCATGGTTATCTTTCCTATCATACCACTCTTTTGTCATAATCTCCCTCTAATACTCCACATTTCCAATGTGTACAGGTTTAGGTCCTCCTGAGCGGAATACCTTCTCATTCTGTATTTCTCACAGCTTTCTTTTTTGCTCAACCCTCACTGCTCTTTATTTGTTGCAAATTCCTCTGATGACTTCATGCAGCACTTCCCTGCAATGAGACGCATATCATTTTTTAGTTTGACCAGTGCTTTTCTCCAATGTATGGCTTAAGGTACTATTCACCTTGGACCCAACTTGCTTATTGCCATCCTTCTCCTTTGTGGTTTGTGGCAAATTCTTCCATATATGTCTTCTAGGAGTGCCATGAAGCCAAAAAGTTTGTTCAGTGACTATACATGAAGGATAACAAAGGACACACTCATGAATAAGTGGAAGATTACTGTATTCGAAAAATGAAGGGTGAGAAGCTTGCTATTCACGTTTCCAATGATGATATGCCTTCAAAGGTTCAGCAGTTCATAGTTGTGATCTTCAATGATGAGGTCATCTTCTCTGGGTGATCAAGTATGTTGCTCATCACACTCTTTTAATGTCCTGATGTTGACAGGACTACCCCCAGTTTTCCTTGCATTCCCTGCTTCTACAAATGGTAAAGAAAGAAGTCACTTGTAAATTCATTCAGTACCGCATGAAGCATGTAACGAAATATATTTCAATTGCATCGTAACAAACCTTGCAAACTATGTCAATTGCAGCAGTACACCTGCAGGGACATTCTTGTTTGAAAGAAGCTCACACCTTCAGGGAAATTCTTGGTTGAAAGAAGCTCACACCTGCAGGGACATTCTTGGTTGAAAGAAGCTCACACCTGCAGGGACATTCTTGTGTAAAAGAAGCTCCTCAGCATGATGTGCATACATCATCCACTTAATAAGTACTGTAATTTCCCCTTGATATGCTTCTTCTTCAAGAGAATGATGTACTGAACCTGTCAAATGAGGTACAACTGGAAGGATTGGTAAAATGGAATTGTTGAAATGCAATAGTCACAACTTTCTCTCTGATCATGTCATTGAATAGCTGTAAAATATTTCTGATGCTTCCAATTTGCAACTGAACTGCAGGAAAATTCCTTCTGCTCCTGCTGTTGCTTTATCACACAACTTTCTACCAGATCTTCCTTTAGAGTGTCCAAGTCTTGGACTGTAATGCTGTCCAATGCAAAGTAAAAAAAAATTCTTTGAAGTCTTGAGTTCAAATTTGTAGGAAGTTTTATGCTTGTAGCACGCAGACTTGCTGCCTTGCTTCTTGAGTTCTGATCTTGTTTGGCTCTCCATTCTTTCAAACACCCAAATTTATGCATCTCAATTTCTCCCTTCCCAAGAAGCTTTAAAGCTTCTTGAACAACTGCATAACACTCACACAAATGGGTGGAAATGCACTTAAAAGCCCCATCAGAAGTTTCCAAATGTTCAAATAAATATTTTACAAATGCACAGAGAACAACTGGGACGCCGTGAAAGGAAGGTTTAAATCTTCCTCATTGACAATTTTCAATGGGAGACCTTCTATTTTTAGGCAGAAAGTCCAACTGCAAATTGAAATTCCCAGTGGGCAACCACTTAACTTTCTTCCAGTTTTTTCAGAGTTTCTGCTTTTAATGGACATCATTGAAATCCCCTTGGTGGAGCAGATGGCAGCTGCTCCCAAGGACGGTTTTAACTCTGTCCTGGCTGCCAACAGGTGGTGGCACCTCAGGGGGTCTGGACTTGAGTGCAGGAAGGACAAAAATATCTGCAGCTGCACTCTTTCTAAATTCAAGTTTCCTTTCAGGGTTTTTAAATACATGTTTTATAATACAATTGTTGCAAATAGCAATCCATGGAGATGGATTTGCTCCTTCCTCAATTTTTTGGATTTTTCATTCCCAACTCTACTGGGTGAAATACTGAAATGTGTAAAATATCATCAAAATAATTTTATGATACATTCATATATTAATGAAACACAAACATGTATGTACAGCTTACCTCTGATTAGGCTGGGAATGGTGCCTGTGGCCATCTTACTTCATTTTCTGTTTGTGTGAAGCAAGCAGCAGACATGTTGAAGAAGAATGTAAAGGATGCAGTGGAGGAATGGAAGTCATCAACTTTTTCTACTGTAACTGGTTCATTGACAGCTGCTATGGAATCCTATGGTTGTTTGTCCATGTTCTGATGGCCAAGGCTGGTTGACTCTTCCACTTATGTGTATAATTTCTTCCATTTCAGTGCATGGCGTTTCTGAAACATGTTACATTCTTCAAGACAGCCCCTGCAACTTGTGTACTTCACATTTGGAAGTGCTACAGTTCATGAGGAATGAACGTTGTTTTGATGCAGAGCTCATGGCTCTCTGCCTGGATGTTGCCATGGCCAAAGCATGTGCATCCAGGTGTTGTCCATGTGATGCGGCACTAACACTGGCTGATTTTGTTTTGAAAAATCGTGACTATGATTCAGCCTTGATTGAACATGCAGATGCTCTAAGGAAATCTGTATTGAACAGGGGAAAGAAGGTTATACCTTTTGTAATTCTTCAATTTAATTAAAACAAACTTTTGAATACAAATTCCTCTGTCAGGGTTTGAAGAGACAACATGTTTTCAGGTGTTTTACACCTTCTGTAAACAAGGGAAGAAAGGTGACAGATGTTGCTAAGAAATGTGTAAGTGTTAACCAGTCAATGTTACAAATGGGATTGTATTAATATACATACTAATATGTATTACAGGCATCTGGAAAAGTTCAAGTGGCCAGTGGACATCAACCATATACTCGGATTCATCTCTTGCCAAAAGGGGAACCTGATGACATTGGTAAATTATTTACCAAGTTTGTCAGGAAAGGACATGATGGTAAGCAGTGCTTATTTATTTCAGCATTCCTCCGTATAATACCCATCACCTTCCCACAGGACAACCTAGGAAAAAAACTCCTTCTTGTACTCTGGATGCTTCTCCGGAGAGTGTGGTTGAATTTGCAAATTTCATGATGTGGGCTACAGACATGCAGTGCCAAATGTACTTGTTCCTTTGTGACAAGCCACCATATTACAATGGTAATGATGCAGTCAACATCTATGCAGTAGAGTAATATTTTATAAACCTACTAATGTACCGTTTACCTGAATACTTCCAGGTCCAAAGGATGACTGGCGGTCAAGAACATGCAAATTTGTATATGATGAGGGTTTTGTGCGAAACCTGCAGAGGAGGTCCATCCCAAACTCATATTCACCTTGGATAGTCCCAAGTCATCCTGTTCCAGGTGTTCTTCATTCAGAAGAAATTGTTTTTCCAGAAATACTGGAAGACAATTGGTTCTGCTTGGATGCTCTAAGTCCTGAGAAGAAAGTTACCATTAACTTGAGCAAGGTGATTTTTTTGGGGGTTTTCAATTGTTACATGACAACATTAATGCTGATTTTTACAGGAAGGAACACTCTGGGTGGAATGTGTATTGCTTGGAGTCAATAGGGACAAGAATGGGAAAATATGTGGTCTTTTCATGCGTATTGATGACCTTGCCCATTTAATCACCTCTGTACAAATTTACTGTAGGACTCTCTTGGAGAAACTCAGTAAAGGTCTAGGTGCCAAAAAGAAGAGAAACTGGAAGGTGTTGTACTCCTATGAGAAATGTTATTTTGTATGACAGTGATTTAATACTGATTCATGGTATGTATATACTTACACAGATTCCTGAAGGACGGGGAATATTCTACAATGTTCTGGTGCGTGCATTGTTTCCTGCAGATTCTTCAGCAGGCTTAACTAGAAATGCTTTGGAGATGTTTGAAAGAAAAGATTGTGAATTCTTCACATTTCGGGAAGACCTCATATTCCTTGAATATGAATACAAGAATCATAAGAAAAGTAAGTTTTACAACCCATAGCACTAACCAAATAAGGTTACTGATGTGACTTAACAACTTAATGCCTTCTTCATTCATTTCCATGTCAGGTCAATCATTCTTTCCCAAATTGCTCAAGTCAGTCTTGCAGAATGAGGCCAAAGCATTCTTGCAAAAATGCAATGATGACACCATGGAGGAAGACCTGATTGATCAAGCTGAAACATGTGAGAAGTGCTTCAGTGATGATGGAAAGGTTGTCCTTGGAGATTTCAAGAAATGGGTGAGACGTTGAATATAATGTACTACTTTCAATTTGAATTCAGTCAATGATTCAAAATGATGTTGATACCCATTTCTACAGTTACAAAACTGTAATGAAGTCCTCACCAAAACCATTGTTGGACGCTACATGGAGAACACCAGCTTGATATCTCAGGAATTCAAGTCATTTGAGTTGTGGCACAAGGAAATTTACAATAAGAGGGCTGAGTTGTGGAATGAATTTTTTGAAAGACGTTCGTGTTATGGAAAAGTTGCAAGTACTGTTGTACCACAGGTCAGAAAAGAATGAATGTGTGTAACCTGATTATAAATACGCAACAGCAGTGCTTAAGTTTGCGTTGTTTTTTTAATGTTTTGTATGCACTTCAGTTTTTATTACTGTTTTCCCAGTTGAAGGCATTTGTAAATGTGGGTCGATGAAGAAAAATCCCTACATATCATTTTTTTTGAATATTTTGTACATCATTGTACCTTGGTTGGCAATATTGCGTATGGTTTAACAGTGCCTTCATGTAGAACTCACATTTAAATGTTTTCTGTGTTTCCGTTGAAAAGCTGACGCATATTTTGTGATTATGTAGCTGTCATCCAAGAGTTCAAGGACTCAATAAAAAACTCTGTGTTTGTTTGTGATGCTGGCAAAGGACTCATTCATAAAACCTTACTGGGGGTTTGTCTGGTTTGCTTCTGATCAAGCCAGCGTTGCAAGGATGACGTGCACCACGGAAAACTCCAAGGCTGCGGTGCTACCATACGTGCCTCCACCTCCAGCTGCCAGTTCAGACCTGCTAGCGTCTTCCGCCGGGCCATCCAACGCAGAACATGAGTCACCAGTCATCACACCATCAACTCTGCTGAGTTCCTAGTCACAGCCAACCATGCCTATGTTTTGCAGTCAGTGGGAGACTGTCCCGCTTCCCACCCTTCAATACCTGACCATTGCATACCGCTTGGGGGCCCCAACCGGGGCACAGCGCGCCAACTATGTTACGCTCCTGGAGACCCACCGCATTCCTGTGTCCATCGCTCACGGCTGGATACCACCTCCCGGGTGGCACCTACAGACCACTGCCTGTCCACTACCAACATCTCAGGAGATTGTTGTCACCAACCCAACACCTGCCCTGCCAGTCATCCACCCGCCATGTTACCGACCGCCAGGAGAGCTCTAGCTGTTGGGTCTACCGCGGCATCGGAAAGCAAAACCTTTGAGGACTACGCCAATCAGCTTTGAAGGATGCCGGCAGTCGATGATGTCTCCACCGACATGAAAGTCTGGTGCCTCCTGAACAAGACTCATACTCTGGTCTGGGAAACTGTGTCAATCCTGTACAGACGCGGCATTGTCGAGTTGGAGGAGCTCATTGAGGCAGTAATGGTATCCCATCCAACGCCACATCTCGAACGTTTGGACTGGTTTAGACACCTACGCCCTCAAACATGAGAGAGCTACTTCAGCTTTGCCTGCAGGTTAGATTCTTTTTACTCATTTCTCACACCTGCCCAGCAACCAGTTATCGCCTAGATCAGGGGTGCCCAAGATACGGCCCGCGGGCCAGATCTGTCCCGCGGAGGCTTAAAATCTGGCCCGCCAAGACAGCATGAAAGTTCACCACCAAAAAAATTAAGACCATAAAAAGTAAATATTGCAAATTTTTCAAGACATCTTCAGTCTGCAATTTTGATTAGGAATTATAGTAGGGCTTCACAAATATTGTAACAATTCCTTGTAACGAGAAAGACCAATAGAACAGTATGGATTAATTTGTGATGTCAGTGGTTCTGTTTATCAAATGAAAGGGCAGGGTTTTGCAATCTTGGAATTTAAATGTTACCCCAGCATTTTCTGTTGTGTTTTTTTTAAATTTAATTGCATCTCTTGATAGGGGAAGGATGTACAGTAGCATAATTTTCTCAATAGCCTGAAATTAACATATCAACAAAGAATCATGTAAAAATACATATGTGACATGAAATAATTGAGAAAGACAATTCAACACTGGGCCAATAGAGATTGAAAATTTGAGACAGGGTCAATGTGAGACAGGGACAATTTGAGACAGAGGGCCAATTCAAGACAGAGGTCCAATTTGAGCCTAAGCAATTCAGTGACAGGGACACTTGGAGACATGGACATTTAGAGACAAGGACAATTTGAGCCTTGCCCAAAGCAACTCTGCACACAAGATATATTTTTATACATACACACTTTCTGGGTTTCTTCAGATTCTTGGTGATTTTTAGGGAGTTTTCAAATGC